TAAATGTTGCTCAATTTATTGTCCCATCAGCAATTTAGAGAACAGCTTCGCCAGGCACCTTCCCTAGCATAAGACAAGGTTTTTATGCATTTGTGTGTGTGTGTGTGTGTGACAGGTGTGAAATAATTCCTAGGTTTCCTATCACTGTTTTTTCACATGGGTGTTATGAGAAGCAGTCACGTGCAATGACTGCAAGCATGACCTCTGGGGTCAGGTTGCCCAGGTTTGAGTTGTGGTTTGATATTAACAGGTGTATGAATTGATCAAGTTACTTTTGTAGATTGTGGATTACAACGAAAATGTGTGTGATATCATGAAATTAATATATGTAAAGTGCTTCCAGTAGGACTTGATACTGCGTATCAAGTTGCTTTGTCAACATCATTGCTTCTGTCGCGATAGGCACTGACCTGAAGGGGCAGTTAAGATTTTTGACACAGTCTGAGCTCCTAATTCTCTCCGATTTTTGTTATCTCTGTCATTTGAGTACACAAGCAATCTTTCAAATGTTCGTGGAAAATGTGTATTATGAAAAAAAAAAAGCACTAGGCATGCTAATTCTCTGCTCTAAGAACTTCTCAAAAGTACCTTTAGATTTCAGCTCATGGGACATGAGAGGAGGCAAAAACTGCCCTATCTACTCCTAACAGATGAAAAGCAGCTGGAAGGGAGGGAGGTTAACATCCATTGTGTTCATTGAGGCCACCTCCCTCGTCATGGCTGCTTGGCTTACAGTAGGTTAACATCTCCATTAGAGCGTTCTTACGTGTTTTGTCCTGGTTCGAAGCTGGCAGTTGTGGGTAACCAGGTGGAGAAAGACTGCTTATTCCTTGTAGTCAGGTATGAGGGAGTGCAGACCCCTCACTCATTAGCTCCTCTACATGAAAGTAAGTTTCCGGTTTCTAAGGTTGTATTTATTACAAAGGCATAGAGACAAAAGGAGAGATATTTTCCATATTGTTTATTTCCAAATGCAAGATATAGCAAGGACTAAGCCAGGCTGAAGGAACTCAATTTGGGTCTCCAGTGTAGGTGACAGGGACCTGATTTCTTGGCTCATCACCAGCTGCTTCCAGCGTTCACGTCGGTAGGAAGCTGAATGAGCTGTGGAGGAGCCTATGGAGGAGCCTTTGGTTCGAAGCAGGCACTGGAACATGATGAGGTGGGCATTCCAAGTAGGGACTTACCTGCTACATCAAATGCCTGCTTCAAGTTTTGTTTTTCTACCAATTCCTCTGTAAATATTAACAATCCAAATCCTTCTCTTCTGTCAATAAAAGCAGCCTTATAAGACTTATTGTCTACAACTCTCCAACAAATATATACCATGCTCCATGTGAAAAATATTTTACCAAAATACAAAATAGCTTGAGCACCGTGTGTGTGTGTGTGTGTGGGTGTGTGTGTATAATTTTCTTTCTCGTTTAAAAGATGAGTACATAGGTTGCCTCTTTTTGTCCCTTCACCAAGGTCAGATTTTATTATTGCTCTACCATCACTAACAGATGTTAAATATTCCATCATATTACAGTATAACACCCAAACAACCTTTCTTTAGTTTCTTCTCTCAACCTTCAAACTGCGCAAGACTCTAGGGGTTAAGGATAAATGAGAACTCATCTTTCTTTTCCAGGTCTAGGTAGCCCGTACACATGATAAGCAGACTCCTTGAGGATGAATCAGCTCTTAGCTCTTTGCTTTTTCTTTCTTTCCTGACGTTGTGAAATGACTTAGAAACCAAACTGAATCCTTGATAATCCTTCTATTTTTTATTTTTACAAAAGATTTATTTTTTATCTGAAAGGCAGAGTTACAAAGAAAGAAACAGAGAGAAACAGAGAAAGAGAGAGAGATCTCCCATCTGCTGGTTCACTCCCCAAACAGCTGTAATAGTAACATTGGACCAGGCTGAAGCCAAGATCCTGGACTTGGTTCTGGTCTCCTGTGAGTGTCAGAGACCCAAATACTTGGAGCATCTTCCACTGTTTCCGAGGTGCATTAGCAAGGAGGCAAATCAGAAGCAGAGCAACTGGCATTTGAGCTGTTCCTTTGATGTCATGGGATGTCAGTATCACAGGTAGAAGCTTAATCTGCTATATCACAGTGTCAGCTCCAATCTTTCTATTTTTTGCTACTCATTTTGTCCTTCTATGAACTTTTGGGGTTGATCACCTGAGCTGAGAAATGCCTTGCTATTACATACTACTCTGTTGTTACATAAAGAAGCTAAGCTAATTTTTGTAATAAGCTGATTCTATAATATAGAATAACTTGAGCACTCTCTCTCTTTCTCTTTCTATATATATATATATATATGTATTTTTTTCTAATTTAAGACATTGATAAACAGATTTGAAAGTTTGCTCACTTCCACTCAAGTATTAAATTACCAAAACCGAAAGAAGTGCTATGAACTTAAAAAAAAAAATTGCAAAATTGTTCTAAAGACTGTCTCTATTCCAGCTAGTCATAGGAGAAAGCTGAATGGGAGCCTAAACATGGGTGCTTTGTAAGAAGTTAATGTTGGGGGCTGTCATTATGGCACTGTAAGTTAGGCTGCCACCTGCAATGCCAGCCTCCCATATGAACTCCGGTTCAAGCCCATGCTGCTCTGTTTCTGATCCAGCTGCTTGTTACCTTGACTAGGAAAATAGTAGAAGATAGACCAATTCCTTGGGCCTCTGCTAGCTGTGTAGGGGACCTAGATGAAGCTCCTTGCTCCTGGCTTCACCCTGGTTTAATCCTGGATATTGTGTCCATTTCCAGGGTGATCTCTCTGTCTCTCTCTGTATGTGTGTGTATGTGTGTCTTTCAACTCCCTCTTTCTGCACAAACTGCCTTCCAAACCTTAAAAGCCAGTTAGCCTTTCCAATAGTCCCATGACCCTAACACAACACCTGAACTACGCAGCACAAATTGGGCAGGATACTGGTCCAAGGGCCATGGCTGTGCTTCTCCAACCAAGCAGGTAGGAGGCAGCCATCAGCATGTGCTGAGTGGCTGCCAGTTAGCTGCACCTACAGCTCCTCCCTCGCTTATCACAGTGTTTATTTTTCACTGCTTTCTCCCCTGGTCTGCACTCAGCTAAGGAGTTTCAGAAATCTCATCCAAACTTCTGGCGATTCTCTTCCTTTCACACGTTGACTGATGAGTTCATAAAGCCCCAGACGGTGGGGGTAGCCTTCAGACTGTGTGATTCCATTAGTCTCCTTGTCTATTTTGGGTAAGATAAGTAATCCTAGACAAATGGAAAGGCTGCTTGTCTCAGCTGCCAAGGGCTTCGCATTTCCCAGGGTTATGTCTGCTGCTTGGCTTTCAGCTCTTCTTTTCCCAACTCCAGCTTCTGACCTTGTTCGAACACCATGTTTTACCCACGTAATTATTTACAGTGTTGTTAGCATCTCTGTCCAGCTTCCAATTCCTTGCTTTGATTTTTTTTTTTTTGCCACTGGTGCCATTTGTTCTTACCAGATCCTTCCCATGTCCTTTGATGCCCACGTCCTCTGTACTTGATGACTCATTTTAGCATTAGGCCTGAACTGGTAGGGAGACACAGAGGGAGACACAGAGAGGGAGGAGCTGCAAAAGTCAGCTGTAAATCAAATCAGGCTTGGAAAGGTGTTTGCTAATGAATGGACAATAAAGGGATGAGATTCCCATATCTCATGTGGGAAAAGAACAAGGGATGGGGCCGGTTGCTGAAGTAGGGACTAGGAATTGATTCTGCTGCTTTGAGCTTCACATCAGTTGGGGGAGAATCTGAAGCAGGGGTTTGGATATTTAAGTGAAGAAAACCAAACAATGTCTTAGGCAAGTGGAGGACATTTCCAGGTCAGCCGCTCAGATTTGGAAAGAGATGTCAGAAACACCAACCAGAATCAGAAGTACTTTTTAAAAAAGCAATTATTTTATTATGCAGTTCTATTGGGCCCTTTTCCCCTCCCTACACTGTCACCCCTTCTCCACTGATTTGCCCTGTATCTTCATAATAGTATAGTCCTTCAGAATCAGTCCTGAGTCCATCATGCTGTTATTTAAGTGTATCCTGACATTGCAGGCATGGACAATGGCACTGAGTCCAGTATCCTATTGTCAAGGTATATTTAACAGTTTCACTGGGAGTCCATCTTTGATATGAAAGTAGAGATGCATAGTGCATTGTATCTTCACATGTGGATATGAGAGTCTCCATTACACAGTTACTATTTATCCCCTTAAATGAATACCCACAATACATAGTCAACAACAGGAAGAAAAAATAGAAAATTCACAACAACCTGAAGCTAAATAACATGCTACCGTGTGACCAGGGTGTCACTGAAAGAAATTAAGGAACACAATGGAGCAAGCAGCAGTGCTTCTTAACTTCCATGGAAGCAGGTTCATCTGCACCTTGAAATCAAATGCAAAGACGTGTGCGTTTCTGTGCCTGGTGAGACAGAACCCAAATGTGCATTTGGAATCACAATGAGGTTTGTGATCCATAAACGGGAAAGAGTCCCTTGCTAAGATGATCTGTGTACCCCAAGGGTCCTCAAAGCCATGAGGGGGGCGGGGTGACTAGGAAAAAGATCCTAGTGGGTGAAGGGCAAGATGTAAAGCTGGTGTGAAATGATATGTTGCAGGGAATTAATGCTCTGTGCAGTGATCCGAGTGTCGAGCTCTCCATGTTCTGGTGGGAAATCGGGATCCATACTGGGGAATCTGAGAGAGCATTTATCTCCACGTCAATAATACAGAAAGGAAAAGAGGAAATTATTGGTTCACATTTCACAAACCTAGCTTTATCTTTTTTAAACTACTGTTTTTCAAGCATGCAGCCTTGCAGTCATCCTTTGTTTTGATTTTCTGGGGTGTCTTGTTTCTCCTCCTAACCTTTTGTTCTACCCAGAATGCTGTTAGTCGTAACTCAGCCACGCTCTAGGCTGCTGTCCAAAGGCGCAGGAAACAAGGATGCTTTTGTTAATGAAGGCTTTCACGCCTATTTTTGTCTCCGGCAGTAAAACCGCTGAGTTCTTGAGCACACTGGACACAGGATTGCCAGACAGAAGTGCCAGCCAAATTGCTCCTCGTGATCCACTATCTTCAACATGGGTGAGTGGAATTCTATACCAGGTGCTGGGTGCACTTTTAAAGAGTTGTTGGGGACTGGAGATTCAGGGCAGAGAGAGACCTGTATGGCATAGAATAGTTGACTCAATGCGGGAAGAACTGATAAAACACTTTGACAGCTGTCTGAGCTATTAAAAAAAATGCTGCTATTTGTTGCCTATATAGTGGACACCTGAACTATCATTAAGGGCTCTCAGATCAGTCATGTCAGGTGTAACCCCAACCATCCAGTCCCTAAAAGTCCAGCAAGATGTTTATGAAGTCTACTGGGGACATGCTGTTTATACCCTGATGAACTTTCATGGAGTGAAAAAGAAAAATCTATAATTACAACAGAGTAGTGAGTTTAGAGTGCACAGCACTTCAGGGAGCAGCAGCTGAATAACACTGTGTGTGCGTGTGTGTGTATCATTAGCAACTTCTTGGTAGAAGTGACACCTGAGCTCTGGCTTGAAAGACAAGTTTGTAAAATGAAGAGAATCGTTCCAGATGTCAGAATTCGTAAGACACAGAAGGATTAAGGTATAGGGGCAGGAGAGAAGCAGGGCTCTCTCTGGGGAAGAAGAGTTATGTTGCTATTGCATAATAGAGTGACCCAGAAAGCTGGAGAATCAGCAGAGGCCAACAGAGCCTTCCTCAATGATGGGCCACTGCCATTCAGGGGACAGTATCTAGTACAGGCTGTCTTGGTTACTGCAGGATGCCTAGCAACCCTGGGCCTGGGCACACAGCCCATCCAGACATTGAGATATCCGTTAGCGCCCCACACAGGGAGCTGCTGGAGTTTTTGGTAGAAAAACCAACAGGGTCCTTTGTCTGCTATATTGGAGTTCTGTGAGTGCTGGAGGTACTGAAATGCTCAAGGTCAAGCCTTCTATTTTCACTGGGTCACAATGGTGAGTGTGTGGAGGGTGGATTTAAAGGAGTAGAGAAGTACAAAGGCCTTTAACATTTCTGTGCTGATCTAACTGAGGAGGATTGATGACTTAGGACAGTGGGTGAGAAAACAAAGAAGGAAATACACATCCGAGAACTGCTTAGAAGATGACAGAAGTGGCAGAGTTTGGTATGACTACTTGGGGGCAAGAGAATAAATGCTATTAAGGATGAGTCTGCAACAGCGTTGTAGTTGAATGAAAAGATGGACTTGAGTGTTACAAAGCCCCAGCATTCACTTGTCCCAAATCTGAAAACACCCAGTTGTTAGGGAAACCTGTGCTTTGTTTCCCACCATCCTTATCTCATGAGGGGCCATGCTTTAAACTGTCAAGAAGATGCTCTGACATTCCTTGTGAAAAGGTCGTACTCCTACCTGCAAACCTTTCGGTGCTCCGTATTGTTCCGCCCCCGTTACTGATGCAGTGTTCCACAGTCTAAATTTGTCAGTGTGGGCTGTACAAGTCACATCGGCTGCCATCCTTCATCTCTGTCTCAGTGCGGAACTCTGGGAAGAGGGTTGGAGGTAGTGCAGTTGAAAAATGTGTGGATGACATTTCTGCACCTCTCTCAGCAGTGCCCTAAGGCAATAAAGGAACGGATGGGGAGTGGGACCAAATTGGGCTTGGGCCTGGCTTCCCATTGGAGGACTTCCTAAGTTCTAGAATTTTAAGCACCTGGCAGAAGTGGGTGTGCTTGCTCTGTTGACTTTGGCTCTCTCTTCAACTTAACAAGCTCGTTCTGCATTTTAATGCTGTCATCCCAAGCATTAGCAATGTCTCCTAGAGCTGCGTTTTCTGTGGATTGATTAGTGCATTAGTCACACAGGGTTTAGAGCTATTTATAGAAAATATGGAGTAGGATGGGCCCCAGGGGGGTTTCTTAGGAACTGCAGGCACTAGCTGATCTCCTTTGGACACCAACCTATTTAGTCGTTGATGTTCAACATATTTACCTGACGTTTTGCCCATATTCTCCACTTTGTGTTCCCTCTAATCCATGCATGTGGGACTCTCCTGACAATGTCTTGTGGAACCATTTCTCATGGTTTAGGAAGGTGAAATATGTACATTTGATTTCTGTGAAGAACTTTTCCCTGTCAAAGGAGGCAACGTGCAATTCCCCTTGTCTATGTATGGAACAAAAATACAGTATGCGACTCATCTGTAAGCAGGATGATGACCTGGACAGACTTCAGTGTTTTTTTTTTTTTCTTTTTAAAAATCATGATCATTTTTATTTTATTATCTAATGCGTCTTTCTTGAAAAATTTGTCTTTGATATTTTTTCTTACTTAAATGGAGATTTAATAGAGCATGTATCACTATGTTAGTGACAAAGACTACAAGAAAAATCTCCTGAGATGTTAAAAAAATAGCTTCACATCCAAGGTATTTACAGAATTGTCATCCATGGACGAATGTAGTATGAAGGCAGAGATCATATCTTCCTCCGCATGTTGTTGAGTATTTACAGTTGCATGCTAAATGGCTTCTTATTTGCTGACCCCTCTTCTTTCTCATAAATAAATAAATAAATAAATAATCTCATCTTGCTACTCCACTGCCCCAAACAGTTGAGTGGCTCTGTGTGTCTTCCATGACAGTGTACACATGCATTAGCTTGAGCGTCATGTCCCTGCTGCTTTTTGCCCCACCTCCACCTCTCTCTCTCGCTCTCTCTCTCTCTCTCTCTGTCTAGATCTACCCCCTCCAGTCCTCAAGGCTCTGACGAACTGGCCTCAGGCTAGATCATTGCTACTCCAGGTGTAACCCAAGAATCAATACTTGGGCATCACCTAGGACTCAGAAATGCAGACGACTCTCCAGCCCCACTGAAGCCCTCACTGTCCCCTAAGGGACCCTGCTCCTGTAACACATCTCCCTGGCCTTATCTGCATCTGTGTGCCATGTATTCCTCAGGAAGGCAAAGAGCATGTGGGCCTTGCCTTCTTTCAATGCTACTTACACCTCAATTGCATAGAGTTCTTGTATTCAACTACTGTGTCACTTAGTACGGCACAAATTGATTCTCTTCAATTTCCAATGATGAGGCTGTTCTTTCTCTCAAGGCTCTTGGGGGGATGTCTGTGTTCCTTGCTCCCCCAGTTTATTTTGGAATTTGTCATGCTGTTCACTGCAATTTCTTCTCTCTCTCTCATATCACTTTCTCCCTACCTTTTAAAAAATTTTGTTATTATTATTATTATCCTTTTATGATACAGTTCCATAGGCCCTGGGATTTCCCTTCCCCCCTCCTTGAGTCCCCTCTTCCCCCACCTCACTGAGTTCCTCTATGTTATTACAATGTATAGTTCTTCATAAACTGTTAAAAGTTGCTCATTGAAGGCATGGAGGATGGCAGAGTCCCACATCCTGTTGTCAAGATATAGTTAACAGTTTTATTAGGAGTCCATCTTTGATCTGGAAGTAGAGATGCATATTGTATTGTATCCTCACATCTGGATATGATAGTCTCCATTACACAGTTATTGTACATCCCCTTAAATGAAAAGCCACAAAACAACAGAGATAGATGTTGGTAGAGATGGAGCAAACTGTAAGCAGCTGATTTGACTCCTCAGATGCCTGTAACAGTTGGGGCTGGGCCAAGCCAAATTTGGGAGCCTGGAGTTCCATCCATGTCTTTCCCATGGGTGGCATCTGCCCAAGCACTTGGACCATCTTCAGGTGCCTTCCCAGGTACATTATTAAGAAATTTGATTGGAAATGGAACAGCTAAGACTTGAACTGGCACTCAGAGTTGCAGTGGCTTAACTCATAGCACCACAGCACCTATTCCTCTTGATGCAAATTTCCACACGATTTTTTCCTTGTGTACCTTCTGGATGAATTATCAACTCCAAGGTTTTCTCTCTTAGAATCTTGCCTCTTGCTCTGATGTGTGTTGATTGTTTTGTGGGTCTACCACACAGTTGCTGCTCTAGAACTTTTCTTTAACACAGTGGTTTTCCACCTCCTTGGTACCCTGGCATCCTCTGGGGAGCTTTGAAGTTTGTAGATGCCTGGGTCACGCCGTGGCCTGGGCTTCAGGGTCTCTGAAAGCTCTCCAGGCAATTCTCATATGTAGGCAAGGGTAAGAGTTGCTTTTGTAAAGGTGTGTTGGGAATTGCTTTTATGGTTTTCCTATCTTGAGTCTCCTCATTTCAAAATCTCATTTCTTTTGTTGTCTTACTTTATTTCTTTGTTTTGGTAGAGTGTATTATTTAGTAGTTTTCCAAGAGAAGATACATGGGAGACAAACACGTTTATGTTCTTTCATATCTATAGTAATCTGATTTATTCCTTTTCTCCTTGCTTTCATTTTTCTCTAATGAATATTCCAAATTAGAAATGTTTACCCTTGAGAAATTCAAGGCTTTGTTCTTTTGACTTTGTATTGTTTCCTGAAGAATCCAAGGTCATCTGCCTTTTAGTCTATAGAACTTCTCCCTGTTTCCCCTGCAGATATTTTAATATCTTCTTTTTCTGGCATTCAGTAAGGATGTGACTTAATGTGAGGGCCTTTTTTATTCATTTTATGTATGGAAATGCATCTCTAGTTCTAGACAATTTTCTTGTGTTATTTCTCTGATTTATTTCCCTTCATTTTCTCTTAATGGAATTCCTATTATTCAAATCCTAGGCCACCTGGATTTATCTTCTAACATTTGTCTTTTAAACACTTTTCTCCTCTCATTTATCTTTGATTTCATTTTCTCCTGCTTTCTGGCATGTTCTCCTGACTTTATCTTCTAAGGATTTTACTGATTTGGTTTTCTGGAATGGGAAGAGGATATTTTGTTAATGTATGAAAGTTTCTTCTATTTTCCCCTACGGCTTTTGAAAACACAGCCACCTGTTCTTGTTTCAATGCATGGCACATCATCCTATAGGTCTCAGCGCACACAGTGCAGGGGACAGGTGACACCCTCACAGGGGTCCAGAGATTCCAGGCTAGTGTGTAGGATTTTATGTGACCTTTATCCCTGCAGCCTTCTCTGCCTGGTGTGCGTGGCTTTCAATTTCCTTTTGGGATTAGGTGAATTAGCACCTTGCTTTTCTGAAAAGGATCAAATGCAAGTGGACCAACAGCATCTAGTGAGACTATAATTTAGTCATCCCCCCCCACCACCCCAAATTTCCTGTTATCCAACTGCTTTTGCCAACAACAGGTGCATCCATATCCTAGACTCGCTGGGGCAAATTGGCCTCCTATGGGTGTACTCTAGTCCTTGGCCAGCAAATCTTCAGGTCTGTTCTTTACCTTGCCATTTTATCACATACTTGATCTATATGGGCTTTCATCTATGACAATGGATATCTCTTGGATTTTGAAGATTGGTTTGTGTTTGTTTCATGTTCTCCTCTGTTAAGAGTACATTTTGAGAGAAGACTAGAGCAAAAACATCTTTACTCCACCATCCTGAGATGAGAATTGAATGCTTGTTATGGATGGCTGAGATATGCCCCCTACCATCATGTAATTTATATGTTGAAGCCCTAGACCTCAGAACGTTAGAATATGGTCTTATTTGGAGTTAAAGTCTTTATATAAAACTAAATTGAGGTCATCAGAGTAGGCTCAAATCAATGGGAAAAGTGTGTCTGTCAGATAGGGCCCATCTGGACATAAAGATGTAAACAGGGAAGATGATGAGGAATATAGAGGGTGAAGATGGCCGTGTGCAAGCCAAATCAAGAGGCCTGGAACAGAACTCCTCCTCATAGAATTTAAGATGAAGCGAGCCTGACATTTCTCTGATTCTGAGAGGATGAGATAGTAAATTTCTGTTCTTTGAGGTCCTAGTCTCTGGTGCTTTGTTCTGGAAGACCTAGGAAACCCGTGTAGAATTATTTCTCACTGCTTTAGATTTGTCTTTTCTCTTGCTTAGCCTGATCCCGACTCTGCCACACATCTTAGTGCCACCCGCTTTAGGAAAGTGGCCTGGATCTGGCTGAATGCCCTCCTTTTTGGTTTCCACTGTCATAGTATCTATCACACTGAACTGATTAAATCCTGTCTGGCTTGCACACCAGGCTTTAAGTGTTTGAAGTCTAGAATCATGTCTTTTTAAAAACATAAATTTATTTATGTGAAGAGAACAGATTTCATGTATTTCACATGTATACATTTAATAATGGATTGACACTTCCCACCATCTCTCCCTTCCCGCCTCCCTCCCACATGTCTTGACACAGCTCTTGTACATTTGGTGGAGGCTTGTGTCTCGTGCCTTGATAGATTACAGGCATAGATTTAGGGGAGGATGAATATAAGCATATCTTAGTTGAAATACAATAAACTAGAAATTTTCTCATGTTCAAAAGTCAGAAAAATAGTGATAAAAAATCTGCTCCACCCCCATTTTTAATAGACTCTATCTATCCTGCTTAGGAATGACAGTTTGGTAACTAAACATTAGGATTCCAAGGAACTTTGAATGTTTCATAGTTAGGATACTATGCGAATTAGTGTCTGTGTCTTTCATAGACATCATCTCACTATATATATATATATATTTCATATACATATATGAAATGATATATAACCACTTTTTTCCGATGAGCTGAAAACTGATTTTTTAAAACTGGACTGTGGAGTGCTAAATTTGAAAGGAAAATATTCAAATATAATTTAAGATCTTTGAGTCATAATATGTATCCTACCAATGTATTTGATTCTACTTTCCATATATTGAATAGAAATAACCCTTCACACCCACCCCCACATTCCACTTGGGGACTTTGTGGAATGTTGATGATGAAGACTGATCTGCTGTAATATAAAAAGAAGGGATCATCAGAGAACTGCTCCCCACCTGTATGTCACCTCCCAGTTCCCCCATGTTTATTAGGCTCCAGATAAAAGGAAGCAATAGGAAGCAGATGAGGGCTGTCTGAACACATGATCCTCTACCATTCTAATTGATATTGCTGTAGATGACACGGTTCTGAAACCTCTACTTTTTGGAAAGTGGCTGTACTGGTTTTTATGGTTGCAGAATTGGGGAAAGAAAGAAAGGAGTTCTTGAGAAAAATTATAGTAAAGGAAAAGGGGAACTGGCCTTCATAAGCTTTATGGATTGTTAGTCTGGGGAAGTAGGCCTGAAATACGTTAACTGCTGTTGCGATGCTTCTAATGGTTTTATGAGATCTCTGGAATTCCCCAAGCGATAGCTTTTCAGTCTGGTGGCCCTTGGCAGAGGCTGGGTTGCAAATCAAAGTGAGGAAGGAAAGTATCTGACAAGTGGATGGAAAGCAGATGCTCCTTGGCTTACTGTGGGGTTCAATGCCAATAATATTATAAGTCAAAAATGCCTTTAATGCGCCTAACCCAACAAACATCCCTGCTTAGTAACACATCATGTTGCAGAGTGTTCGTGGTCCTCCTCTAGTTCACAGAGCAGACTGGGGGCTGTGGCTCCTGCTCCTTCCCCACATTGTCAGAGAGGGTTGGCCCACAAGGGGTATGATTTCTACTGGACATGAACCACTACCCAGCATTGTAAATTTAGAAAATTATAAGCTGAACTATCCTAAGTTGAAATCTTCCAAAATGGGAAGTATGTGGTCACTATTGCCAGTGTGTGGCACTCTGATGTTGTGGATCAGAAAAACAGCTGTGACTCCTGTTGTACTTGCTGGCTAGCTCAATGCTCCCATGCTCCGGAATGAACTTTGCTTTTCCCCCTCCAAAAAGGGAATGCATATTAGGAGTGGGTGTTGGGTGCAGTGGTTTGGTGTGCTGGTAGAGATGCCTGCATCCCATTTCAGAGTACCTGGTTTTGTGAGAGAGCTCCACCTCCAGTTCCAGCCTCCTGCTGGTACAAACCCTGGCCAATGGCAAGTGCTGGTTGGCTCCCTTCCATCCACGTGGCCCAGCCCTTGCTATTGTGGACATTTGGGGAAGGACCCAACAGACGTGAGCTCTCTGCTTCTCAAATCAATAAGTAAACATTGAAAGAAAAAAACAACAAGGAAGTTTCAGGTACAGATTAGGGATGCAAAGATTTAGAAAGCAAGGGCTCTTGAATTACATGCTATCAATCATCAGTTGACATTGGTGTTAGATAGGATACTGTTAATGAGTAAATGTATCATTGCTTCTAAAGATAGTGCCGTTTGTGCTTGTCTCTGATATTGACTGATCAGCACGTTGGGAGAGTCTCAAAAATATCTAACTTTCCGCAACGAAGAATAAATTATGTTGGTTATCTCTGAGGGCATATTTTTAAAGCTTAATTAAACAAACACTTAGATCATCCTTTAAAATGTGCTGAACGATTGTGCTTACACCAGCCTTCTTTTGATACATCCCAAGGGACATCTTCAGACATATGCATAAATCACTCCATGCACAAGTGCGTATGGAGAGCTTACTGTATGCTCAGTGCAGACACTGAGTTATTAGCACTGTCCCGTAGCAGGCAGATTGCCTTACTGACATGATGCCTCTTGCTATGACATTCTTCTTTCTATGCATTTGCAGGCCAGGAGCCGGGCGTATAAGGATTCTCTCAGGGAGGAAGAAAACCGACATTTGCAAAGGATGAAAGATGAACAGCGTCAGAAGGTATTTTCCAGATCCTACGAGTTACTTCTAATTATTTGCTTGATGTAATTGATGATTTTAAGGGTTTCTGAACAGAAATATTATGTCCATCAAGAAGTATCTAGGGCCCGATGTAGTGGCTTAGCAGATAAATCCCTTGTCTTAAATGCACCGGGATCCCATATGGGCGCTGGTTCTAATCCTAGTGGCTCCACTTCCCATCTAGCTCCCTGCCTGTGGCCTGGGAAAGCAGTGGAGGATGGCCCAACACCTTGGGACCCTGTACCCGTGTGGGAGACCTGGAAGAGGCCCCTGGCTCCTGGCTTCAGATCAGTGCAGAACTGGCCATTGCGCTCACTTGGGGAGTGAATCATCAGATGGAAGATCTTCCTCTCTGCCTTTCCTCCTCTCTGTATGTCTGACTTTCCAATAAAAATAATGTGGATGTTTATTTACAGTAGGTGGTACCTTCTTGTCCAAAGTTAGTTTTTCCCTTTCCTTCCTTCCTCCCTTCCTCCCTCCCTCCCTCCCTCCCTCCCTCTCTCCCTCCCTCCTTCCTTCCTTCCTTCCTCCTTCATTCCCTCATTCCCTCCTTCCCTCCCTCGCTCCCTTCCCTCCTTTCCCTCCTTCCTTCCTTTTAAAGATTTATTTATTGAAAGTCAGAGCTACAGAAAAAAGAGGGAGGGAGGGAAAGAGAGAGATCTTGTATCTGCTGGTTCATTCCCAGGCGACTGCTGCATCAGGGCTGGACCAGGTGGAAGCCAGCAGCTTCATCTGGATCTCTCATGTGGAAGGCAGGACTCCAAACACTTGGGCCGTCTTCTGCTTTTTCCTCTGCTAGCAGAGAGCTGATCACAAGTGGAACAGCCAAGAAATGAACGAACACCCATATGAGCTGCCACTGTCTCAGGCAGCAACTTTAGCCCTTTAGTCCAAACTTCCATGATGCATAACCTATCAAGAAGGTGCAATTTGTCTGCCACAGTTCCTCTTAGTTAACTGAGAAGATGCTAGAGCACCGAGGAGTGTCTAGCCTCGAACAGTGGGGCCAGCATCGTGCTGTAGGAGGCTAAGCTACTGCCTGGGCTCCAGTTCAAGGCTGGCTGCTAACTTCCCATCTCGCTCCCTGCTATGGCCAGGGAAAGTAGCTCAAATGCTTAGATCTTTCACCCCTGTGGGAGACTTGGAAGACGCTCATGGCTTTGGATCAGCTCAGCTCCAGCCATTTCTGTCATTTAGGGAGTGAACCAGCAGCTGGAAGATTTCTCTCTCTCTCCCTTCTCTTTTTTCTCTTATCTCTCTGTAACTGTGCCTTTCAAAAAACCAATCTTTCAAAAAGACACGAACAGTATTACTGCCATATTTGAATCAAAGACGTCTGAAATGACAGATATCACTACAGTGTGTGACAAAGTGGTGTGCAAAGTTATGAAATTAACTTTGTCACCTGAAATAGTGTACACATAAAATGCGGAATGACACTGTTCATATTTACAAACATGGGAGACATTGCAGGTTTTCTGAGTAATAGAAATCAGTATTTCAGATGCAAAGCCTCCCAAATAAAGCCCTTGAAGAAGAATCCTCACCATGATGGGGAGTTTCCAGTGGCTGCTGTGGACATGCAGGGTTGTAGCCTGGTGGGTGTGCTCACCTTTGGTCACTGGGCTCAGGTTTGGGCCAAGATGTGCTCAGCGTGAGATGAGAATGTGGAGGAAGACCTGTGCTAAGCTGCAGGAGCCACTTGGCTCCAGATTTTTTCAATAGGCAAAATAGTGGTTTCCAGCCACTCAAGTCATTTTTATTTCCTCCTCATCCCTATTTCTCAGCTTTCCTTCTTGTTGTTTTGGGGTCAGGATTTCTTCAAGATGATCCATCAAGTCTGTTACTCAATTTTACAGCTAACTGGAATTGAAACTCTTGTATGGATTTTCTTGCTTTGGTTTAATTTATGTGCTTCCTTCTGTCAATTTGTATTTTTCCTTCCTAGTTCATGGCTTCATTGAGCAAACAAGATATATGACTGAGCCATTATGTTATTTGGTTTGTGTACAGTAGATAGTCATTGAGAGAAATGTGAGGTCAGAATTTGTGGAAAATGGAATTAAGTTTTTTTGGTATGTGTGTCTTAAACAATTTGAGATCCATGCATCCTTTTTTTTTTAGAACATATATTCCCCTATGAGCATTTAAAAAAAATTTTGTATTTTTATTGGAAAGTCAGATTTACAGAGAGAAAGATTTTTTGTCTGCTGGTTCACTCCCCAATGGCTGGAGCTAAGCCGATTTGAAGGCAGGAGCCAGAAGCTTTACCTGGGTCTCCCACACGGATGCATGGTCCCAAGTGTTTGGGCCATTCTCAACGGCTTTCCCAGGTCACAAGCAGGGAGCTGGATGGGAAGTGGATTAGCTGCGATATGAACTGGCACCCATATGGAACTCTAGCGCATGCAAGACAAGCACTTGAGCCACTGGGCTACCGCCCCAGACCCTCACCATGAACATTTTGATGTTCATTGATTTCAAAATTGTTTTGCACCAAAATAAATGGTTTTTCATCACGTTTTCCATGAACATTTTCAAGTACCCTCATATTGTAAGTTGTAGAAATCGTTATTTAGCTCTTCCATAAGCAATGAAACATTTTTATCCCTTTGTGAGTTTTTTTAAAAACCTCTTTACAGAGTCCTCAACTTAAAATGTACAATTCAAGAGGCAGTGTTACAGTAAGATTCTCATGATTTGCAAGTATACGCTAAATCTGATATACTGTCGTGTTGCATTGTCTGTCAGTGTCCTGCAAGTGTTCATTTGTTTCTCTGAACTTTTAGCTTAATATCCAATCTGAGGTGTTTAGATATTCAACAGAATGTCAGAAAGGGAATTATAGGTTTGATTTATTTTAAAATCACTTAGAGTGGACTTTAGTGCCTGATAGATTTTGTAATGGTCTGTTGGTCTGGAATGTAAAAATCATTAGAAGTAGAGCGTCTCACAAAGAGCGGTCTCTACGGGGTAGAAAGGTCTGGGAATGATATTCCAGCTGTGTGGCTATTTGATACTGACAGCAGTACTTTTTATTTCTTAATCTTGCTTAATATGCAGCCAAATATTGATAAATATTTTCTGATTATTTTTGAACATGTCTTATGTAAAATTTTACTATATTATTTGTCTTAATTTATCAGGTATAGGGAATTCTATCTTTAGGGACATCAACATCAATACAACGCACAGGGGCATTTTCCCATGGATTCTCATTTTGGGCCCTCTCCCTTTGTGCCTGATTTCTTGCTGTTGGAAAATGTCCGTTGAAGACCCTTCCTGATCGGTAGCCGCTGTCATTCCTTGCAACTTGAGTGATTTGCCTTAGGAGAACAAGGGCATGTTCGCAGCGTTGCATCTGCTCGTGGCTTTGTTCGCTCCATCCGTGCAGCAGCTGCTGATTGCCTAGTATCATGAGTGGGTCGCTGCCCTCGGTTCAGTGGAGAGAACAGCACTTTTATTTTGCTGTATGTGTCTCTGACTTTCACAGCCTTCCACTACTGCAGACTCTGGAGTAAGGAGGCTCTTCCTCTATATTTTATATTTGTTGCAGTTCTCTCTTCCAGAAATGTACTTATACTTGATTTCTCCTTATACCTTTACCAAGTTTTTCTCCATTGCCTATGTCCCTTTTTCATTCATAGGCTTACTCTTTTTTTTTCCTCATTCACCTTTTTTTTTTTTTAAGTGTTGACAATCTTTACATAGTTAATTAGGGTAAAAAGGTTCAAGGGCTACAGGAAAGTGGGTAAGACTAGTATTTTTTCCATATTGTTTACTTCTTGTTTAAAGGGGGGTATTAAGGGAGAAGGCCCACCCAATTTCCCATCCTCCCCAGGTCCTGGATGTAGGGCATGCTCTGAGGTTCTTGCTCAAGTGGTTTTGATATTGCAAATCGCTCCCAATCTTGCTACTCCAAGCACTATGAGGTCCTTGAAGAATCCACTGATTGACATAGTCCATCCTAGCTGAGATGGTTGGTTGACCTGTTCTGTCTTCTCTCTCTTCTTGGTTTGGGTTCTGAGTCCAACATTTTTATTGGGGAGACCTCCAAAGAAACTTTGTCTGACGTGTTCCCAGACCAGATTCTTGTATGTACTAGCAAGTGCAGGGCCCGGCACAGTCCATTGCTGGGTTGGTTCTGTTTTCACTCCCGACTTCCACTGGAACCAATGGGTGTTGCAGTCCAGCCTGGTTCTGCCCAGCATATACTTGGCCCCCGCATAAACCAGTGGGAGCTGCAGCCTAGTTGGAGCGACCCACAATAACCCCCACCAGGCCCGCCTCCTACCCTGGTTTGCCAGTATGTGTAGCAATAGTCCAGTCTGTCCCACACCCCATTCCACCCTAGCCGCTGTCCTAGTTTTATGCCCTCACGTGGAAGTGGTAACCCAAGAGGGAGGAGCCCACTATTTCCCTCCCAGGCCTCTCTTACTCCTGGAGTGTGCACTTTCCAGATAGTTCTGTGGTTTGACTTGACAGAACTAGGCCACAGTGCCAGCTTCTGCCAGCTGATGCTGTGGCTAAGCCCAAACAACCCTCACCCACTCTAATTTTGTTTGCACCAGTAGGAATAATCAGCCCAGCCTGGCTTTTCCCTGATCTAGTACACCTGAGGCGTACAGGTGTTGTAGTCCTGCTTAGTCTGGTCTGCCCCCATCCCAGCCTATTTTCTCCTTCGGGAGTAGCTGTCCAGCAAAGGAACCCTCCATTATTCCCCTGCCGGCTCTACCCCCTCCCTTCCTTGTTCTCACGCTGGTTGGGTGCTGCAGTCACATCCGGTACAGGCAACCTCACCTTGGCATTCCCTATTGTGCACTAGTCTTTGTTGCGACCGAACCTGGCTCGATCCACTCTGTTCTGGTGCTTGGATTTGCCAGTGGATGACGTGGACAGATTCAGCCTGGTCTTCCCCCAGTCCATGCCAAATGTATGCCCGTGGGTAACTTTCCATGGCCTATTCTGGGCTGTTTCCT